ATTTCTTCCAACGATTCACCCAGGTGCATGTGTCCATGGACAACTGACCAATGACGATTTGCTAAAACTAGTGAGTCCTCAATGCAGCACAATTAACGGTCCAACTTTTTTTGCATAATCGATTTGAGATCAATGTTTTTCCGTCGGTTGTCATCGGTTTCCTTTATTAAAATCGAATAAAACTGATTATTAGGTAGGTTCCTTTGGAACTGTTCAATTGTGGAAATATTTACTTGAGGAATTATTTTCCTAATGATATATTCTATTCTATGATTGAGACTCAACTTAAGTCTAATAAAGTAAGTCACTTGACAGTTGGGAATAATCGATCGAAATTTGTCGATTGATGAAAATTTGGAATAGTCGATTATTATCAGACTTCTATGTGTGACAGTTCGTAATTGTTTCGTTCTTGTGTGAAGATCAGTTTCGTTGTCGTCCGACACATTTTTTCCCTGGGTGAATCGTTGGAAGAAATTTCCTTCTAATGATATTCTATTAATAGCATTTTTTCTCTGTACATTTCTACATAACTTACATTGCTTTTTCTTTTATCTGAGTGGGAAAGAATACAGTTTGAAAGAAATATGAATGACGTCCGAATGAGGAAGAAACAAGAAAAAATGAGCATGAGTAATTGAGAATTGAGAATGTGTTCGAGATAAGTGAAGAAGATGTATATATATGTGGTGAAAATGAATGAAAGAATACATTTTTTCCACAGTCAAACGAGAAGAAGTGCACGTAAAACATTTTTTTCGGGAGAACATTAGTACTCAACTATTACCTTTATCTAAACAAATGAATGATGAAGATATTCTTCCCGTTACATTGTCTTCAAACTATTCAGGTGCATGTGTCCATGGACAACTGACCAATGACGATTTGCTAAAACTAGTGAGTCCTCAATGCAGCACAATTAACGGTCCAACTTTTTTTGCATTGAAATATCGAGTTGTTCCTTGCACAACGATTGGAAATGCCAATAACATTGGAGGTGGCTACAATGATGCGTACAGTTTTACTTCGGCTGGACACTTTCGGAATATTAGTCGCGGTCGACGATGGGGTGGGAAACATCAACAAGGAGGCATGTTTCATGCTACAAGGTCATCTATTGCGTTTCACATTGTCATAGGTATTGATCTTGTAATGGTCTTTTGTTCTTCTTTTAGCGCAATACAATTTCTCGTCGACGGATATAAAGCAGATCCAGAAACATTTATATACGATTGTGCCTATGATACATCCAACAAGGGTTGTCTTATATCCAAACTTTATGTTGATGTAGGCAATTATCTTTCAGGTAACCATGCTCTTCTTACCACTGAATAATCTGTTTAGTACGAATGTATTTATTTTTAAAAACATTCTCTTCCATATATATATTAAATAATCAGAAAACCTGTATGTTTTACAGGACTAGAGATGATGAAAGTTGAAGAGCATTCGAATTTGCTGATAGTATTACACACATCTTGCAGGTGTGAACTCTTCTGAGAATGTACTGGGTTATTGAGAAAAGTTTTCTATCGATCATGAGAAGAATTTGAAATTCTAATAAATCAATAAATCAATATTGTTGACACGCAAATTCTATTTATGATTGTTTAATTTTTTCTTTTCTAAAGTATTTCTCAAAATCTTGTTTTTATTTGAATAACTCGGATCGTATGTTATGTTCTGTTTTACTCAGACAGACTTTTATAAATATTGACATGAATTGGATTGTTGATTTATTAAGCATATCTTTCGAGAATTTCATGAATGAAAAAATAACAATCAATATATCCTGTGAATTGGGGATAAACATACGTATCTCTTGAATTTTAGTTCAATTCTCAGGTGGATTATCAAGCCCTGCAAACGTCGACAATCCAAATGATCTCCAGGCTGATTACGAAGACAAGATATTCAACTGCTTTGCAAATGTTCACGTAAATATTAAATGAACGTTCACTCTTTTTCAATAGTTTTTATTTTATAATGAACTGTTATATCACGCAAAGCAAATGATCACCCACATAGTTTAAGAAGATCATTCGTTACCTGCGATTCGTTCAAAGTCATTTAAATCAGAGAGCGGAACGAATCTATCTGAACCGGACTCGATCAAGAGAAACTCGGTTCGATTCTCTCTCAGTGTTACCTCACCATGATATGTCTAAGTAAATCAAGATATAGATGTTTCATTGTGTTCTATCTCACAATAACGTTTTTTTATCACTGAAAAAGTTTAGACTTCTTATCTTTAAGTGTATAGTCTTGATCCAACTGATCAGTTTCATCGAGAAACATATTCTATCAAATACAAAATGGCGAAATCAGCAAAACAGAGCAACAAAAATTAGAAGAAATTTGCTTATTATCTGAAGCTATTGATCTTCATCTTCAGTCAAGTCGGAGTCATTATCAATAGTATCATCATCATCATTATTTGGTTCGCCCTCGATTTGTTCTATGAACTGATCAGCTTTTTTAAAATTTTCTTCGTATACCTGTACGTGATCGATGCAATTCGATATGAATGTTGAGTCACAGTTGTTAAGTCAATCCCAAATTAATTTTTCAACATCTTTTAGTCTGAATGTGATATTTTGATCTCGAACAGATTTCTTAAGCTCAGCCCTGCACATTTCTATAGGATATAAAGAAAAAGAATGACGGAAAGAGAAATTTAGTGAAATAAATTACAAGTCTTTTAGTTTTGACTTCCTGAGTATGCAATGACGAACGGGTAGACGTACAATTTCGATATCAGATTGTTTGGCTGTTTCATCGACAATATATTCTTTTTCTGGTGCATATGCATAGCTTAACTCAAGAAGTTCGGATTTACTATATTGCTCAATGAATGGAACTGAATGATCAATCAACCATTGACGAATTCGGTTTTTATTCCAAGATCTCAACGGTATTTTAGATGCATCCGTTAGTTGTGAGTGTCATGTCGCATTATCAAACACAAGACATATTTTCTCCTTGTTTCCTATAAAACAATACGTATTTTACAAATGAAAACTCTGAATACTTCCTCATCTTACCATGCTCCTTCCTCAACTTAATACACGTTTGATAGATTCATTTATTAAAGTGTTCCCCATCCATATTATGTTCGGGTTTGTACTGAAATACTTCTGCAGACGATTTATGAAAACCATGTCGACTGATCATCCCATTGATGGTGAGAGGGGAACCTATAAATAATTTAATGCAAAGTATGTGGTTAGCAGAGGGACATTACAACTAAAGCCAAAATCGGTGATCATCAACCAGGCTTAGATACTCATTTTTACATATCTTTTCCTTCTGAACGCCGAACTCTTCCTTGTCCCGTCTGCTTCCAAATGCTTGTCTTTTCTTCACTAGAATAACACCACGTTTCATCGTGATAGAAAATGAGTGCTTTTTCCTTCCGCTGCTTATCAATACGACGAAAATATCTCGCTCTTTGCGACATGAAAAAGGTTGATTCTAATGGTGTTTTGATCTTCGATGTTTTCTGATAAACAAATCCCATCTGTTTTTGTTCTTTCGATAATGTCGCTGTACTTTTGATCGGAAAGTCAGGAAAATCGGCTAGTAGTCGAGCCTTCATTCGATCCAATACAGGGTATATTCGTTCAGCCAAGATGAAATTCATATCGAATCATATCCTTTCCAAAGTCAGATAAATTAATTTTTGGACGACCACTGGGTGACATTGGCTGCTCCATTGTGTCATCCTAAATAAGGTCAGTATCAAAAGTTCACAGTTTGAAGAATATTGATGACTTTCTTACAGTGGTAATTGTACTTGACCCTGACTGAAATCTCCTACGCGATGATCTTTCTTTAGCCATCTCGATTTCCTTCAATTCTTTCTTCAGATTATCAGTCGAACGGGATGAAACACCTAACATTGCACATAAACGATCATTGACATTATTCAATGGGATTTTTATCCCATATTTTTCTGATTTAACGAATTAAATAGTCCGACAGATGATTTCCCTCGTTTGAGGTGAAAACTCTTTTGCCATAATAAGCTAAATTTGAACTGTTTACTCTATCTAAAAATAAACTATGAACATGTGTTAGAGCCTTTATTCCTCTCGTACATCCCAGGACTCCATGTTAAGAAACGAATAAAAGTCAAAACAGATGATAAAACATAGAAATAACGTCTTTACAGAATGACATGTAATTTCTGACTCATTAAAAAAGCTATGAGCGCAATCACTGTGGGATTAAAATGTGAAACACGATATAAGAACTGTTATTAATAGACGGAGATATTTAACAAATCGCTTCCGGATTATTCTGTATGTGTTCGATTCGACAGGGAGAGTTACATCAATACTCCTTTACTGCTTTTCACTTTGTCTGTGAACTTATAGGTTTCGCTTGAGTAATTCATAAAAATGATAAAGTAGACTTCACTATAGAAGCTATGCCTATCGTGGTCTGTCATTTTGAAGGAAGGAGACTGCTAATGTATCTGTCACGTCTGTAGGGAAGGGGCATGGTAAGATGAGGAAGTATTCAGAGTTTTCATTTGTAAAATACGTATTGTTTTATAGGAAACAAGGAGAAAATATGTCTT